AAGCAGAGACAGACTTGGCAGGAGTTTGATTTCTGAAACCAGGCTGAATGTCAAGAAGCGCTTTCTCTGATCAGGTCATTCATTTATAGGGTTTTCAGCTGACCTGAGGTATTCTGTACTTATTCTGTATAGGATTTATGGACTGATATGATTAGAAAAAAATGTAGTTTATGAACCTGAATATGCCTTTACTCTCTCAGGTACAAATCAGGAGTAAGGTAAAATTAGTGTGAGAATGAGACCCGTATTTTTTTTCAGTTACGCACCATTCTAAAAGTTATATTGTGGGAGTGGGAGAAAAATACAAACTAATAAATCATATATGCTGCTTAGACATTGAATTGCTTTCCTCAAGGTTAAATAAATTGTGCATGTTTGGGAGAACAATAATGCAAAGGCAGAGGTGTCAGCAGCATACAATTAAGTTGTGAATTGCCAAGCAGAGATGTAGTATGGAAAACCCTTATCGGTTGTGAGCAATTCTATTTGAATTACTCATGAACATTGCAGTCAGATTTCTCACAAATACAGTCGAGGAGAACTTCATCGGCTCTCCTGTAGCTATTTCAGCTTGCTTGAAATAATACTACATTTGTGGCTGTACCTATCTCTGTACACATTCTCTTTTCCCTCATACATGTTTGCTTTCACTTGTGAACGTTGTGTTTGTGGTTTTTTATCTTGTCTTTAATGAGCTGTAGCTCATTGCAGTGTATTATGTATTATATTTAAAGTACCAGTACAGATATGACACGCCCTATAAAAGGCAAGAACATCTCTTATATATGGAGAAATGAATCATTTCCAGGGAAGGAAGCAAAAATTATAATTCAATCAAGGCAATTCTGTTCTTTGTTTTCAGACAGGAAGTGCGCTATCTTAAGGACATCTGAATCTCATCTGTAATTACAAAGTTGTCATTCCTTTATACAAATAATATAATTAAGTAATGCAAACTGTTAACAGAATAAAAGAGGTTAAATTGTCTTTTTCACTCAAAATAGATTCTAATTAGTTTCTGACAGAAAGTTGTCCTAATACAATGACTTATTGGCTAGTCTCACTATTGAGACTACTGTTGATGGGCTAAGCTACGAAGGCTAGTGGTGGGTAGGTACACTGCTGACTAATTGCTGGTGAAAAACACCAGTTTTTCAGGTGTCCATTTTAGAAACAAACAAAAGCATAATTTGCCTGATGCAATAGGTGGAGTGATCCTTTTCCTGTGCAAAGCCTGTTTTTGTAAAGAGTAAAGACTCTTCAGGACAGAATTTTAGCGACCAAATCGTATACTGAGGAAAAAATTTAAAGGTTCAGCTTTAGAAAAGGGAAAAACAGGAACATGCTTTCATGTTTCCCAAGGTCATTTTACAGAATTCCTGCTTTCCTGGACTTTTAACAGTCTGTAACAGATGACCATATAGTTTCTTGAGTATATATTCACTGAGAATGGCTAGTTAATCTTAATTTCCAAGATCAAGACTCTAAATACAAGACTGATATACAAGACTGTCAAATATACCAGAAAGCTGCCGCGACACCTGAAGGGTCAGTGTGGAGGCTGCAGCTGAGCAAGCAGGAAAGCTGATGCTCGTTCTTCATGAAGGGTGGCTCCACAGATCACAGTGCAATCTTCTCTGTGCATTTCTGAATGGCAAGTAAGCCTTCCTGACTGCGGAAGTTAAACCACCTGCATTGTTACAGATTATTTGTTTCCCATTAGGTCTATAGGACATTCTATTCTCTTTTCCTGGTGCCATGTTAATGCCTTTAAAGTTTTGTTTTGCTAGTAACAGAAATTTATTTTAGTTATTTTGAAATACGGATAAAGAGGTTTCTATGAACACATACTCAGCAAATGCATCAATATGTTCTAATTAATGAATTCACCATTCAGTGCTACAATAATTCACTTTATCTCTAACCATTCCCAGTGAATTATTTATATAGTGACATGTCTTTATTTGCAAACTGCCATTTGCATTATTGCTTTTGTTATTAATTATACTTTTAATAATTCTTTAGTGCTTGGTCTCATCAGTAAAAAAAAAAAAAAATGGATGGTGCCCAGGAAGCATTTAGCCTTATCTTAATTCTGTATCCCTAACACCATTGCCAATAGCACAAGAGTAGATAAATAATACTTTAACTGGCAGTTCTTCTCTTTTGTCCATTCCCTTGTGTCCTTTTCTCTCCTGTATGCCAATATCCCTGAGTTTGTTCTGTAAAAGCAAAGGATGTTTCTGTATTAATGACTATTTAAATAACAGAATTACATTGCTATTGTACTTGCTTCTTTCTGTTCCAGACAATGACTATGAATTAATTAGCATTAGAATACTGGAAATTCCTATGAATTTTAACATTTTATTTGGAACAGTCTGTGTGCATTATTGAATGATTTTACACCTCCTAATGCGAAACTGATGATATCTCTGCAAACCTCTGGGGGAGCGTGTGAGGTCACTAAAGTTAGATTTGCAAAGAAAATACATGGATTTCTCTCTCACATTATTCTTTCCTGTGCTGCTATTTTTGAGCTCTTGCTCAGAGTGGCTCATTTGTATTGAAAGATTCTCTTATCCTTTATCCTGTTCATCTACCTTTCCAAACTTTTCATTTCATAAGGGAAATGAACTGTGGTTTTTCAATACTTAAACATTCTTACAGGAAAACGAGAACTTATGTTTTCAGCTGTAAGTGTTGTCTCCAGAGATAATGGTCATTGAAAGGCAGCCCAGCATGAAAAGCAAATATACATGTCAGAAATGAAAATAATAATTTATACCATGTCTTCTTCCTGTCTTCATCGCTGATAGTTTATTCCCTCCGTGAAGGAGGATTCCAGAAGTAACATTGGTGTTTTGGCATGCAGGCATCTGCGTGGGAAGAAAAATGATGAAGTTTTATTAAAAATTCTCCCTGGAATCCTAAGTTTGTTCTATATTTCTGCTGATTATTTGTTATTATTTTTGTTTTTAAAAGAAAGGTTTTTTAAATTCATGGATTCATGGGAGCTCACAACATAATTAGCACCCTGCCAGTGACTGAGGGAAAAACACTGGCAAACACAATCCCTCCTGAAAGCAATGAATCCCTCTGTACCACTTACTGAGCAAAATCTTAATGTGTTAAGCCAGGTGGATTGCTTAAATAGATTTTTTTTTTCCCCTTCAAAATCAGGTATAATAATATCCATAACCTACATCTTTCTGGTTTAAAATAAACTTTTTTTTTTTTTCAAAAGTGAATAGCAACATGTATTTACCATTCTGTATTAACAAAATTTGCATAAAATTTATAATATTTGAGTAATACATTTTTGATGGTTAGCTTTTAAAGAAAGCTACTGAACAGGGAAGAAAAATACTGTCTATGCATCCAGAACCGGAGGTTGTTGAAATGATTAAACAGCTTTTAACAACAACAAAAGAAATGTTTTCTTCATTTCAGTTTGATTTACTTCAATAACTAGTTCAAAGTTGAAGAACTGCTTAGAAATAGAGTAAGCTGAAGCATCATTATCTTTAAATGGCCTAGGAATAAATTCTCAGTCTGGGATGCTGAGACTTATGAATTCATTCATTAACTGTATATAAAATTTGCTTTGGTAATAAACCAGTTTTAAGTATAAAATATTTCATACATTTTTCCTCTGTATACAATGTTATTTATTGCCATTTTATTTAAATAATAAATACACTGAAAAGGCTGGGGTTTTGCATGTCAATTGAATTCCCATTCCATGCAAAGCAGCTTGATATGAGTCATAAGTAAATAAAAATTAATCTTCTAGTAAAGAAGAATTATCATTCATTTCTAACAGAATGCTATGTAAGTGTTAAGCATTTGAATAATTCTGCTGAACTATATCACTTCTTAAATGGGAATGTAAAGTATTTTTCTGGTAGTGTATGGCAGTAACAGATTAGTTTAAAAACTAGATTCAGTTGCAAAGCGACTTTTTTTTTTAAGTTTATCTACCAACAACAATCAAACTCACTTGAGGAAAAAAGAATAATACACATTCAAAATAAGCATATAAAGTTTTTTTTAAAAAAAAAAATTATGTTTTTTTTTTTATTTTCAAGTGAATAGGAATTATTTTCACAAAAAAAGTTTGAAAATCTCATGAGAAATTATTTTATATTGCATTCTTTTTGTGAAAAATATTTGAGAGGTTTTCCAGAAATATTATAGTTGAGGGCCTTATAAATAAGTAATTCTGTGATATATGGGAGACAGAATGGCTATATGAACAGTCGTAACTCCCTACTTTAGGAGGATCTATACTCAGAATTTTAATTCAGTAGAAAATTCCAACGTTTATAAAATCAATTTAATTTCCAACTGGAAGGAAATAAAGTTTTGACATATTCTACTTATTAAAATTATATTTAAAAGTGGTGGAAATATCAAAATGGGCAATATTTTTCCCTCAGCAAGAGTAAGGCTGTTAGTTTAAACTGACATAACAAGAGTTACATTAATTTCTTTCAAAAATTTAGATCTATGCTTTTTACATTTCTATTGATTTAGTTTATATGTATATGATGCTGGTATTTTAATTAGAAAGACTTGGTTGCTTTATATTAGGCTTCTTTAATGACTTATCAAAATTGGAAAATTTATAGTCTTTCTTTAAAACAATAACCACAGTGGGTCCTATTAAATCACACAGCTGACAGAGACACCTATTCCCGGCTTGCTCAGTTGTGAATTAATGAATTCTTCAAACATAAAATTGCTAGACAAGTGTTTCAGTGTAGTTTGCTGGCCACTCTTGTCCATGTGTATCCAACATGCCAGTGTGCTTATAAGGGGAATGAAATCTCAGCAGTAGAGGGCCATTTCTCAGTGCTAGCTGAGCTAAAGGAGAAGTAAGAGATTTTATGATGTGAGTGGGGAAAAGCGCATTTAAAGCAGCAAGGATCTCACCAGTTTCAACGAAATGCTGATATATTCATTACACCTTAACTGCATTTCCTGTTTTCTCCTAGGTCTTACTGCTGCAGCATCTCTTGTATCCCTGGCTTGGGCTTTGGCTTCCTACCAAAAGGCCCTTCGTGACTCCCGTGATGACAAGAAACCCATCAGTTATATGGCTGTTATAATCCAGTTTTGCTGGCATTTCTTCACAATTGCAGCAAGGGTTATTACTTTTGCTCTGTTTGCCTCGGTTTTCCAGCTGTACTTTGGGATCTTCATCGTGCTGCACTGGTGCATCATGACCTTCTGGATCGTCCACTGCGAGACAGAGTTTTGCATCACTAAATGGGAGGAGATAGTTTTCGACATGGTTGTTGGGATAATCTATATCTTCAGCTGGTTCAATGTCAAGGAAGGAAGGACACGCTGTAGGCTTTTCATTTACTATTTTGTGATCCTTTTAGAAAACACCGCCTTGAGTGCTCTCTGGTATCTGTACAAGGCCCCACCAATCTCTGATGCATTTGCCATACCAGCACTGTGTGTAGTGTTCAGCAGCTTTTTAACGGGCATTGTTTTTATGCTAATGTACTATGCCTTCTTTCACCCCAACGGACCAAGGTTTGGGCAGTCGCCAAGCTGTGCTTGTGAGGACCCTGCCGCTGCCTTCACCCTACCCCCAGAAGTGGCAACAAACACTCTACGGTCCATCTCCAACAACCGGAGTGTCACGAGCGAGCGGGATCAAAAATTCGCAGAGAGGGATGGGTGTGTGCCTGTGTTTCAGGTGAGACCCACCGCACCATCCACACCTTCATCCCGGCCACCAAGGATTGAGGAGTCTGTCATTAAAATCGATCTGTTCAGGAACAGGTACCCAGCATGGGAGAGACACGTGTTGGACAGGAGCCTGAGGAAGGCGATCTTAGCATTTGAATGTTCCCCTGCTCCTCCACGGCTACAGTATAAAGATGATGCCCTTATCCAGGAGCGCTTGGAATATGAAACCACACTGTAAACAAAACAAAAACACAGCTTGAAGAAGCTCTGACATTACAGTCCAAATTAAGGGTTGACAGTAGGGCTGTAGGAATAACTAAACTGTGTACTACAAGTAGAGCAGCAAGCTGTAGTGTTCTTAGTCTGGCTATCATCATGATTATCATTTGATCCACTGTGTGCAGTCTGTCTGCAGGACACTGATACAGCAGCAGCACCTGAAAGCCTCAAAAGACCCCAAACCCTGGCCCACACATACAGATCAGTTACTTCAGCTGGGGAAACTCACCCACGACTCCTTGCTGCTATGAAACTCTGACTGCACAGTACTTATAATGAAACCAATAGGAAGGCTCTGACCAGAGCTTTCAACTTGAGCCAGTAGTGCATTTTATTTTAGAAATGAATGATTGATATTTGCATAATCAATGGCAAAAACAAACAAAAAAAACCCTTTTCAAAATAACAAAACGGTAGCACTCAATGTTGCTGTTATGAAAACTGTTTTCTGGGGAAAAAATAGGAGCATAGAAGTTTTCAATACTCCCATAAATAAACCATTCAGGTTAGAACAGGTTTGCAAAATAGTTCTTGATTAAAAAGACACATCGTCATGTTTGTAAGGCTGTCAATGGAAAATAAACTAAATTCTGATTAATTAGGTCATAAACATTAATACTACCAGAACTGTTTGTTTCCTGTGGAATTTCAAAGTCTTTTTAAACGCAGTTTCAGTTCTTTATGTTACTTTCAACAGAAATCCTATGCAGCTCACTTCTGGTTTTCAGGAGGAATAAGGAGCTCTAGCACGTAGTGATGTAAATTAAATGATAATCATGATTCAGTGTTCAATTTGCAAAAAAAAAAAAAAAAAATATGTAAAAGAACAGGGAAGTATAGTTTTCGTATTCTAAACTTTTTGGAGGACCCCATTCAGATATTTCGGAAGAAACTACGAGGAGATGAACACACTGAAACTTCTCTGTTTCAGGACTCAGAATGCATGATTCAGTGTGTGAATGTATGCAGGGGTGACAAGAGACTGTGACATGCCATACCCTTCTAGTGCCAAACATTGTCTAACTGCAAGGTTGATATTGCCTGAGGGACAGATAACAAGTGGCACGAGCCCTACCAGAACAAAAAGCAGGAAAGACCAGTCAAGTTCTCAACATGTAGAGACAGCTCTGATTTTTCCCACCCAAGGTGAAAGTGATGTCTTTTAAAGGCTTTCAGCCACCTCTTAGTAAGTATATTCACCGAAGTATAATATAAGCAAGTTATGTGGAAGACCCTCTTCTGCCTGTTCAAGACTTGTGTCCAGATATGTCTAAAAATTACGTTGAATCTCTTGTAATAGAGTGCTTTTGCTGCAAGCTTTTGGGTTTTAAATACCTCCCTAAATCTAGTCAATAGTATCCTCCTTTATGTTAAAAGTATCCCCTGATGGTGCTTTCAGATGCATTAAAGGTGCAAGTCAAAATTTGATAGTATTTTTTTTAAAGCTGGTGCAGAGTGAAAAACTCATGAATTATTTCAATATTTTTGTAAAGTAAAAATATGGTATAAAAAGGTTACTTTTTATAAACCTCAAATCTTTTAATACATTTCATTCTCTTTATAGCTTAGATTTTAAGAATTGGTCCATGAACTTTATCAACTGGCTTCTGCAGGTTGATATAAACCTGGTTTTCACACATTATGGATTTGTTTTGCAGTGTAATGCCATATGAAAGCCTACATGGGTACTTTTAGAATACTCTATAAACCATGGATCCTGCTTCAAATGTAAATGGCTTGTAAAGACACCAAGCGATTCCATAAGAAACAATTTGCTATAACTATTTCCATCCGTTTTAGGAGAGCGAAGCAGAACTGAAGAGATACTGTTGTAAATGGCATTGTCAGGATGGAGAAGACCTGATGATTGGTATTGTAACCTTCACTGTCAGGTATATCCAGTGTAGTCACTGCTGTATATGCTGCTGGGTCAATGTCAGTCTTTCCTGTTATTAATATTTGTACTATGAAATGGCCAAGGTTACACAGCCTATGTTTATTTGTATGTGTTCAATTCGCCATTTTTAATGTTGACTTTTTTTATTAGTGAAATGTTCGATACCTGTTGTTCGTTGCTGGGGCGAGTTCCTCAAAACAAAACATCTGTGGAAGTGCAGGAATCTGCAAGTCAGAGGGAACTTTACACAGATCAGAAAACACCTGTGCTTCAAGGGTGTCTTAGGTATTTTCAAATTAAGCAGTGGCCAACTGCCTCTATAGCAATTTTTTAAATAAAATAATTCTTTGATAGTCTACACCTGAAGCTTTCTATAAAGGGATTGCCCTTTCCTCAATGGAGATATAGCTGATTATTCAGAGAAAAGCACTCATATTTTGTCGGAAAATATTCCACTGCAAGAACTGCTAAGAAAACATTTTGGGAGCAAGTCCTTTGTCCTGTCAAATTCAGTACAGCCTTCACTCCAGAATCAAATGCTATAGCTTGCACAAGCAAATTGCTGTTTTTCTTTACAAAAAAGGCAAATGGTAAGCTTTGTAATTCAAGGTGTGAGGGTTCCTTTTGGAAACAGTTCGATGTGTTTGCTGCTGCTTTAACAACTCAGAAGTTTTATCATGAGTGAGGCACAGCAGGCAGCACCCTCAAGCCCTTTGGTCAGGGCTTACAGAATTGAAGAAACATTGCTTTGTACAGAATTTAAAGGGTTACGGTCTGGACCAGTGCTTGCATTGCAAGGTTTCTGAAGAAGGTTTGGGGTGAGCTTGTCTGATTTGCTCTTGTTTGGTTTTGGAAGGAAGGACACAGAGGCGTTATTTATCCATGTAGTCTTTAATATATAGCATTTACTTTCTTTACTCTCCCAGCATTTTTTTTTAAATAATGTTTGTAAATTTATCTTAAGAAAGCTACTGCAGGGTCTGAGTGCACAGTGCTATATGTGGCAGTACATATACACAGCTTGTCTTCAGAATTCAGTCTGGCTGTTTGAGGAAGGGGGAGAAGGCAAGTCAAAATTTGCTCTCCAAAATCTTGCTCTGTTATGTTCATAATGTCAGTGATACTTGCACTGAGAACAGGATGGCCGTTGAAATCTTGACACTCGGATGACATGGACAGTTTCTTAATTTGCTTTACTGTGAACAGTCACATTAAAAGCTGTAAGAATTTTTTATAGAAGTTGTCAAGATTAAACATAGTCCACATTGAAATCCCACGATGGCCTTACGGACAGTTAATAATCAATATGCACTATTCTTTTTGCCACAGACAGTTTTGAGATCTATTAATAGAGTTCAATTAAGACAGCAATAGCAAAAGAAAAAAAGAATCATAAAAAAAATTAACTTCTGCTTTTGAAATAATGAAAAAATCAGGTCTTTTAAATTTAATTCCAGAATAACAGGAATATGAAAAAGTTCATAATTATATTCTGGGTAAAGAAAACCAGTCACATCTCTTTGTTAGAAGTAAGAGTCATGTAAGCATTATTCTAATGAATCAAACAAATTTGCCATTAGATTTAACAGTAACTTATCTGGTTAAAGACTTGATCCCAAAATTCTGAGAGTTGTGGATTTGTATGTTACAGAAAAGACAATTTAAGTAGTATTCACTACTCTAATTAGATTAAGGAGAGGCAATGCATACCCGTGTTCATTCAGAAAACATATAAGAAAATGTAAGATAAACTTTTTGTCTTATTTTAAAAGAAATTTGTTCTATAATAAGATAATCTTTTTTTAAAAAATGAATTCTTTGAAAATATGTGCAATACTTTTTTCATACAGATTTAATAATGAAAAAACTAATTTCCACTTTTGTTTTTGTCAGTTTAAATATGCTTCCTATGCTAGAACAATGTGTCTGTGCTTGGGTTATATGGGCTTAATGGCATATAAACACTATTTTCATTGGCAAATCAACAAATTTTCTATTAATTAATTTCTATAATATCTGAGGAAATTTTCCTTCGGAAATGAAATGTTAGGCCTCAGCTGCCTGATTTTGTAAACTTTTAAGCAGAGGAGGTAAATTAAAACTTTATTGGAGCTGCAATTTTTAATATGTGGTGAATAGCTCTTAAACTGAAATTTGTTTAAAATATATGATAGTCTAGCCAATATAGCATTATCTCCCCAAAAGAGCAATTCATGAGTGGTACTAAAAGTATGAGTGCTGCTTTATTTGGAAAGGGGCTCCTGATCACACAATATATTCATTTGCTTTTTATTGGCCAGCAAATATTCACAAACCACATATTGGTTTTTTTAGAACCCAAATTAAACAATTTTCAAGTGCTTGTGCTTTGAACATACAACTCTTTAAGAGCCTTAAAAGGAGCGCTGTACTGAGTTTTAGTTGTTTCCGCCAGTGATTCAGCTCCCAAAGCCACTGCCCTTTTTCATTTCTGTCCCTGACGTCATGCAATCTGGAGTGACTGAGACGCTGTGATTTACTCTGCACCCCCTGCACTGCCTGCACAATGCCAAGGAAAAGACTTCAGCAGATTGCTGGGGTCCTACTGCTGCCTCTCTTGCTCCTGTGCATGGTGGGAAGCAGAATAAATTGCATTTGTGCATCCATCTAAACAAGCTTATTTAGGCTGAGTCCCTAGAAGAGGTGCGTGATGAAAATAATCACAACACGTGTCCCTGAATTTACAAGCCCAACACTGTAATTACTAATTCTGTAGCATAACAATGCTAAATGTGGGAACAATTGTCTAAATACACAATAAGCCATTTAATTTTGTTAATTGTAGCAATTAGACTAGCTCACATGAAGCCCATGCTCTCAACAGAAAGCCAAATGGAGTAAGTGGCAAACAGCCATTTATATACCAGAGACATTACATTATTAAACCCTCCCTTGATGGTTTATAGGACTATGTCTTTTCATTACAGCATTGAATTCATTCCTCTTTACTCTGATAAAACAGATAAAATGCAAAATGAGAACAGATTCTTTTAAATCTGGGAATTAAAAAACCCACAACAGAT